TGGGGGGTAGATAACAAGCAATTGATTTTGTTTGCATTGGAATTCCGATACTTGGTTTAAAAATATATCCTCCATCTCAAAAAAATATGTTGACAATACAGATCATCTTCAGTGTAGACAAGTTTTACATCAGGCTTGTCTGTTAAACATTAGATAGAATCAATTCAAGCAGAATTTAATTGTAACGACTAGAACTATATTTATAAAAACTTGCTTTGTGGTTCTATCATATGATATTGTAATATAAAGTGTTAATTGAAGTGACATTTGAAAATGATCTTGATTTAAATTTTTCGAAAAGTTCAATATTCACATTTGATTCTTCTAGAAAAGATAGCATCATCATCAGATAAAATAAATGTTAATAGTGTGTACAATTCCTAGTAGTTTGTTTTTTTATGGCCTATGAAACATTGATGCCCACTGTGTAACATACTTATATTTAAAAACTTTTCAGCAAGTAAGGTGAAGTAACAGCAACTGAATAGTAATATATTATCATAATTATGTGAAATGTCCTAATCTTTTTTCTGATATTAAGCAAATATAATAAAATTACAATAACTTATATATATATTACATATATATATCTATGACATATATTTAAAGTGCACTTGTAAGAACTACTTTATTAGAACAATTGATTGTTTTTTCCCATACGTATTCGGCATTTATTCGCATTTATAAATCGCATCCATGACCAAGAGTAGGTGATTTTACATTTTCAAACAGTTCAAACTGCACGTAGCGCATCATGCGGGATGTGTTGAATCTTTTTTTTTTCAAACTTACAGCTGATGTACAAATACGCACATCCGACTCTCTGTCACATTGGTGTTGATTACGTGAAAGTAATGTCTATACCTTTATCTGTATCACAGTCGACTTCATCAGTAAAATCTGTGCACTGTCCTAGGCCATCACATAGTTGACGTTCACGAAGACAGACTGTCCTATCAACGCACAGATATGGGTATTCTGGGTGTTGTCTTTTACATCCGTTTTCGTCATAATAAGCTTTGTCTGTAACACATGAGACATGCATAGTTAGATCGCACAGTGTAGATGTAGAAAATATTGCACAAGTAGAATCGTGATTTTTTTTTCAAAACGTGATATTATGACTACATCAAAACTTTCAATGTGCGTAACCGCTATTTTAGTTTATTTTAGTACTTACTATTGTTTCAGTCATTCTTTGAACGATAATGTTTATGTAAATGTTGATATACTACAGTAAGTTATTATTTAAGCGGGAGGGTCGTCAGCCTGCGCACGCGCGGAAATTGAGTCTCAAGCAATGATAATAACACACGCTAAAAATGCAAAGGCTCATGGGTAGACGCTTGTTTGTAATCAATGACACGCTTTGTCCATCTGACGCATGCGCAGGTGACGACTCCCCCGCTTTAACATTGCCAGTAAATGTACACCGATTGCTTTGAATGTTTATTTAGTTGTTTGATACACTCAAGACGCACACAGAAGTCATGTCATCGATATCGAACCACGCACTGAATGTGGCATTCACAGTCATCATATTGCGGAGTACGTAATACAGATTTTTAAACCGGTACATACAGGCACGGTTTTAGTAACCGTGATACAAGTTACAATTCTCGGACGAGAAGTCTGGTACGTGGGGATGACGAATGTGCAATCGTGAATTTAAAAAGATCAATCGTTCTTCGCCGGTGGTGGCGCTGTTAAATATTATTCACGTCGTTTATGTTCGCCGCTAGCTTGCACAACTTTCTCTATTTATCCAATACGTGTACAAATCGCACGGCATAGCACGTCATAGCATAGTATCTATAGTTTGTGTAGATATTCAACACGTATATTATTAGGTTTTCAAGACACATGTATTGGAAACCTATTGTAATCGTTATGGTTTTTATTATTAATATTCCGCTAGATTTTTCGCTAAACGCTATTCGAACACCGTTGCACATATCTTGAAAATGTTTTCATATGTTTGTAAAGTTTGATGAGATCTAGTGCATATCCTAAGATGACGGCCAATTTGAATTTAATGCGAAAAATGGCATGCTTTAATATTTAAACACCTTTCTGAAGGTCTAGGAGTCTCAAACTTTCGCTCAAAAGCAGCATTGGCCATAGAGCTATGTATTTCATGTAATAAAAGTTGAACGGTCATGTGACTTTTTTTCTAGAATTTTTCGAAATATTGTTTTGCATCTCATTTGCATAATTTTGATAGTATCAGTTTTGGAGGAGTTGATTTATGAATATTTTTCACATTTTATATAAAATAGTCAGCAATGATGCATTATGGGAAAGGGGGAGGGCCCTAAATACGATACACATTGAATTGCCATATATTGAAAACTATTGCATATACAAACATGGAACCAACGCTATATTGAAGACATTGGACAAGAGAATTGACCAAAATATTGGATGACCATATATGGTCATGCAACTCATTAAATATGCATGTCTCTAATTTTTCAGGCACTATTGCAAGCACGAACATGGAACCAATGCTATATTGAAGACATTGGACAAGAGAATTGACAAACATACCCGGCTATATATGGTCATAGAACTCATTAAATACGATTGGCTATAATATCTCGGACACTATCACATATACAAACATGGAACCAATGTTATATTGAAGACATTGCACAAGAAAATTGACAAACATACCTGATGACCATATATGGTCATAGAACTCATTAAATAGGCATGGCTATAATATCTCGGACACTATCACTTATACAAACGTTGATTTTGAGGGCTATTGCAAACAGTCATACATGGCCATGCATTGCATGTGACTTGGCTATGTGCCATGGTCTTGAAAACCGTTGATTGCTGCTATGCAGCTATATTTGTATTTATTATTATTCTAATATCTAGTTACCCGCGTCTGTACTATAACTGGTACATTTACATTAGAATATGTCGTTGATATAATGCATAACAAGTAACGAGTAACAGCTATTGTATACGGCGTAGCAAGTACTTTTACACGTGGTAGCGGTCACACGACACCATAGCCCTGCGTACATGGATGTGTAGGGGTGATATTTACATTGGGCTTCTTACGCCACCCCAACACATTGGAGCGCAGATAAGGTCCCGGTGAATAGGAGCGCCTCCACATTCACAGACCTGTACACAGAGCTAACGACACCAAAGTTCTTGGGCCTACTGTTATATTTCCTGGCAGAATGATTTTTTCGTCTCGCTCGTTAACTGAAGGTAATTTGTTCTACTAAGCGCATTTTGTAGGGATCTGAGTATTCTATTTATTTTTTCTAAATTCTAGCAAGGCCTCCGACAATCGCTAAATCTTGAAAAGAACTTCAGTTGTCGGCAATAACTTACCGTGATCATTACTATTATCATCATCGCCGTCGTCATTACCGTCGTCATCATCGCACCCGATTTCGTCACTGCCTTGGGGGCATAATTGATATCCGTCACATATATTGACTTCCGGTATACAGTGGTTACTTTCAGAACATCGATATGGATGTGTTGGGAAAGAGGCTGCACAACCAGAATCATCGTAATACGCTATATAAAAATAGTAACAAACATGATTAAATAACTGACGACATACTTCATTCATACACTACTAATTCGCTGCATACGCCACGTAATTACGTACGTTCGGGTATGTTTATTGGGTCGTTTTTTTAAAGCGGGAGGGTCGTCACCTACGCACGCGCGGGAAAAGAGTCCCAAGCGACGATAACAAAACACGCTAAAAACACAAAGGCTCATGGGTAGACGCTTGTTTGTAAACAATGACACGCTATGGCCATCTGACGCATGCGCAGGTGACGACTGTCCGCTTTAAATTATTAAAGAGGCCAATAGCAGAGAAAAACATACACATTTTTAATACTAGTCTTTGATATTGCATGTTGATATATTGTTGCACACACAACAGTGTTTGTTGGGTGGAAATTTGGGAAAACATTATGAATACGCATGTGCAATGACTGTTATCGCACGCGCTAACCTAACCAGTATTAGAAAATTATTTCATTGTTTCATCGAACGAACACTCGGCTGAGTGGTACAAGAAAAAAACGTTTTCAGATGATAAATTGTAGTCCAATATATATAAATTTACAGTATCATACAACAACACTGAAAACTGAATTGTTCTCATCTATTTTGTAATATGTAACTATTGCACACATATAAATATTTTCAAATGACCGCTGAAATCTCGTGTAAAGTGACAGAGATATGAGACGAATGTTTACCCCTTGAACAACCTAAAAACAAAAACAAAATGTGTTCAAATGACTCAGTGTCTAGTTTATTTTAGCAGGCTCCTTTTTATTCTTATTATACAGTTAATTTCTTATTAATCATCCACAATGTTAAAGCGGGGGAGTCGTCACCTGCGCATACGTCAAATGGCCATAGCGTGTCAATATTTACAAACAAGCGTCTACCCATGAGCCTTTGCGTTATTAGCGTGTGTTGTTATCGTCGCTTGGGACTCAATTTCCGCGCGTGCGCAGGTGACGGCCCTCCCGCTTTAACATTTGATATTGCACATGTAGATCACAGGATGGTACTTCACAAATGTGCAAAACTGGAATAAAGAAACACGAATAAAAAGAAAGTTGTAAAAACCTGGTTGTAAATCCGTGCTGGCGGAATTACTATCCGATGTACCACAGTCTATTTCGTCACTACCGTCCCGGCATAGAGGAGAACCGTCACAGAGGGCGCTCTCACGAATACAGCCACTGCCATCCGCACATCTGTATGGGTGTGTTGGATATACTGATCCACACCCGCCGTTGTCCAAGTACGCACTTCCGCCACGGACCACTGAAAGAATAGAGAGTTTAAGATTTGCGTACGTAACGGGAACGTAACGTGATGTTCTGATTGCGTTTGCGTTACGTTCTCGGGTGTCAGAAAACGATTAAGTACAAGCGCCCACAACGGGAACGTAACTGAAACCAGAACCATGTCAATCCGTCTCT